AGGTGTTAAAAATGGCATCGATGTTAAGTGTGGTGTTAAAAATGGCATCAATGTTAAGTGTAGTGTTCAAAATGACATCAATGTCAAGTGTGGTTTGCAAAAAGACATCAATGTCAAGTGTGGTTTGCAAAAAGACATCAATGTTAAGTGTGGTGTGCAAAATAACATCAATGTTAAGTGTGGTGTGCAAAATGACATCAATGTTAAGTGTGGTGTGCAAAATGACATCAATGTTAAGTGTGGTGTTCAAAATGACATCAATGTTACGTGTGGTGTGCAAAATGACATCAATGTTAAGTGTGGTGTGCAATATGACATCAATGTTAGTGTGGTGTGCAAAATGGCATCAATGTTAAGTGTAGTGTGCAAAATGGCATCAATGTTAAGTGAGGTGTGCATAATGACATCAAATTTAAGTGTTGTGTGCAATATAACATCAATGTTAAGTGTGGTGTGCAATATGACATCAATGTTAAGTGTGGTGTTAAAAATGGCATCAATGTTAAGTGTAGTGTTCAAAATGACATCAATGTTAAGTGTGGTGTGCAAAATGACATCAATGTTAGTGTGGTGTGCAAAATGGCATCAATGTTAAGTGTGGTGTGCAAAATGACATCAATGTTAGTGTGGTGTGCAAAATGACATCAATGTTAAGTGTGGTGTGCAATATGACATCAATGTTAAGTGTGGTGTGCAATATGACATCAATGTTAAGTGGTGTGCAAATATGAGCATCAATGTTAAGTGTGGTGTGCAATATGACATCAATGTTAAGTGTAGTGTGCAAAAAGACATCAATGTTAAGTGGTGTGCAAAATGACATCATGTTAATGTGGTGTGCAAATGGACATCAATGTTAAGTGTGATGTGCAAAATGACATCAATGTTCATGTGACATAAGGAGTTGCCCATTAGAGACACTGGGTGGGAATATGGAAGATGATGCATTTTTTTTAGCCTTCACCTATCTAATTTGTGGTTTTATTTCTCTGTAGAATTTTATTTCCAAAATTGTCTTCTTCAAAATCTATCCCCTCCCTTCCTCAATATGCATCTATCTAAGACAAACAAACTGGTCTGACACACTGAAACAAACTATATTAAATTATCCTTGTCTGAAGCAACACAGATGGTACTTTTTAACTTTTCGCCATCATATGAAATTTATGCCTCGCGCAATTTTCATTTTTCAATTTACACAGTCGGTAAAGTGTGCAAGAATACTCTAGGATGGAAATGATGGAATAGGGAAATGTTTTTTTTTTCCTGTTTCAAGAGAATGTTT